AATATCTTTATCTTTTATATCTTGCAAGACCTTATATTCTTTACTATGGTTGCTTCTTATGTGAGTTTCGAGATTATTGCTATGTCGACCTTTTAGTATAGGTCGCCGACACCCTTCAATTTTACACACTGATTCATTTTTTAGAATATTATAATTAAAGTATAACTGACCAACAGGACTGGTTAACTTTCTTCCCATTTTAATAAATCAAAAAAAAACTAAACAATGTTAAGAGCAAATACCACGAGAGACGATACTATAACAGTGTAACATAACCACAGAGGTTTCAATTCATGCGAAGTAATAACTAAAATGATCGCAACTTCCAACTAGATAATAGCATGATAGACATTATATTATGTTATTACTTTACTTTATTAGTACATAAATAGTATCCCAATAAAAATTAAATTTGTACAACAATATTATTCTAATAATATTTCTTTCAACAGTGTGGTTGGTGGTGGGTGGAGGGCCGGAGGGAACACATTTTTCAATTGACAGAATTTATAAATACCCAGACGATTACGTTTTAGTCTATAGTTATTATTATTTAGATTAATGATATTATTTGACCGGACCAATCTTGTTCTAAGAAATTCAGTCAAAACATGTTATTGACATATTTTATTGTGTGCAGTATTATACTATTATTATTTATTAATTAATTTTTAGCCCGCATAACTAAACATTTTCCGACAACACATCTCATCATTCTCATGATCTCATTTGACAATTAATTGTAATACGTCATTTCATATCTACATTTATTTTCGAACACTATAGGTGAATAATGAGAATATTAACTCATTAAATATTACATTAAACCAGGGCTTGAAACCGAAATTTTTTTTTTCGATTTCGATTTCGGTTTCGGATATCGGTATTTATTTTTCCCGATTTTGATTTCGGTTTCGGATATCGGTATTTATTTTTTCTGATTTCGATTTCGGTTTTGGATATCGGTATTTGTTTTTTACGATTTCGTTTTCAGTTTCGTTTTTGATATCGATTTTTAACGGTTTTAACCGGTATTCAATACCGGTTTCAAGCCCTGATTTCAAGTTATTAAAGAAAATTGCGATCGGTAATAAAAAAAAATTTCATCATACAACGTTCACTGATAGGAGAGACATTAGCCACATATTCATTTAACAAATTAAATTTTCCGGTCATAGAAAATATAAGAACAAATCATAAACTAGATCTAGCCGTTTATGATTTGACGTACGGTAGTATTCCATAACCATCGGCCGTGCGGGATTTTCATATCCGTGGTGTTACGATATTTATATTTTATTAAAAATGAATTATAAAATTATTACATGTCCGGACTACAGTAGACGATGACGATTTGCTAGCGGAGGCAGATATAGCGAAATAGACGTAAGACACGCCGAAAACACACTCCCCAACCTCACTTCCCAAAATCACCACTTTAAGGCGGGAGCGGGGTGGTAACGAAAAACCCGCATCGGCCGTGTGGGATTTTCATATCCGTGGTGTTACGATATTTTTTTAAATCATTATATTTATATGACAATTGGTCGAATATGTGCTTTTATTACTTAAACAGTCATCGTCACCGTCGACGCTGTCGTTGCAAACATCGTTTTGGACGAAAACTACTGAATATTAGCATTTATTATAATTTATATTTTATGTGAGATCGTCATCGTCAACGCTCGACGTTGTCGGTGCAAACATCGTTTTGGACGAAAACTACGAATATTAGCATTTATTATATTTTTTGTGAAATCGTCAACGTCGACGCGAGACGTTGTCGGCGTAAATATCTTTTTTTGATGAAAAAAAGCGTGTATGGGTAATCGTCAACGACGACGCTCGAGTGCTTATAACAGGCGGCGCGACCCACTGACGAGCCAGTCTTCGCTGTGCTCTCCTGAGGTGCACATGTGTTCTCCGTCTACTTGGCCCAATACATTTTGTAAGTATGTTTTGTGTGTGTGATTTGTGTGTACCTGGCGTTGACAATTCTCACAACAGATCGTATATTCGTAAAAATTCGCGAGCCTGCATCATCATCGTGCCTTATGGGTACGTGTTGGTGTTTGTTCGCGCGGGTTATGTTCCGCAGAAGCGACGGTACGGACGTACGTCGGGTCTAGTGAGCAGATGTCAAAGTTCCAGTGACTCTCTAGGGAGTTCCGCGTTACGGGTGTATCGCACTCCGCACGCATTATTTGTCGTCACCGACGACAAGTTACGCGCGGCAGAGCTGCCCGTCTCGCGTGCCACCGTCATGACCCGACAACACGTTCGCACCGATCCGAATCCGATCACGTTCGGTGGCTGCAACGTCGTTGAATAACATACGAATATTTTATGTTTGGATTCTGTTGTAAACGACAAATACATATTCACACTCACACTACATGTACAGAGCAAACCCAATTTAAAAAAAGAGAGCAAAATAGGAGGGACCTTTATTCCATGTCACCGATGTCGTCACAGTCGACTCTCGACGTTGTCGGTACAAACATTGTTAAAGGTGAAAACGACAAATATGTGCGTTTATTTTATTTTATGTGGTATCGTCAACGATGACGCGTGACGTTGTCGGTGCAAACATCGATTTTGTCAAAAAGACGACGAATATTAGCATTTTTTATATTTTGTGTGAAATCGTCACCGACGACGCTCGACGCTGTCGTTGCAAAAATAGATTTTGTCAAAAAAACGACGAATATCATCATTGATTATATTTTATGTGAATTCGCCACCGTCAACGCGAGACGTTGTCGATGCAAACATCTTTTTTGATGAATATAGGCTAGCATATATACATCGACGGTACTATATATAAATATACAAGTGTTTGCGGGCGTGTGCGTGTGTGCGTACCAGGTTACATTACGCCTATCCGCATCGTAGTGTATTTTTTTCGATAACCCCGACCAAGTTAAAAGGTAGATGTCGAATCAGACAGATCGTAAATATGATTTTTTATGAGCAGTTCGATGTAAACAAACCGCACGTAGCGTTAAAGTACTTTTAATTAAATCTATTGTTTTCTTAAGTGGTTTCTTATCATGGTCATATTTTAAGCAATATACTAAGTAACATTATAATCGATATTAAATACAAAACATAATTTACACACGCATAAATATTCAGTGATTTATATTATTTAAAAAATAACGTATACGCATCGTCTTATTTAAAATAATATTAAATAATTTTTCAACGTTTAATTTTATATATTTTATCTGATGCGATTTAATATCTAACACGTAATAAACAGACGGATATAAATAAAAACAGTAGTATTTTATTTTTAAAATAATAACTCACTTTAAAACATTCAAGTCCATATTAAATACAAAACTTTACTTCTATTTAAATTCACCTACACGAGTAGGATTAAATAGCCGATTCAAAAACCTCACCCTCACCATTCTCACCCTCACCCTATCTATATTTATTTTTATAAGTAGATTCTTATATGACTACGGTAGGAAGAAAGCGCGTACACGTAGAAAATACAGTATCCCGTATTAAATCTAAAAAAGCTCGTATGGATATGGTTAATACACCAGGTTTCGCTGAGGTTAAATCCGCACATAGTCGAAAAATCGTAGGGTATTATGCTAAAAATCTGAATAATTATGAAAATTATATTTTTCATTTCTCGATAATTTAAAACCTGAGCTTGTCCGATTATTAAGGAGAATTGTAGTTGTGAATCCGATAAAATTTAATTTAAAACTTGAAGCCACTTATAACCAAACGCGTGTAGATAACTCATCGCAAAATAGGTCATTCAAGACATCGGCCCGAGAAATTTTTATCGATTCTGATATAGTTTCATTAATAGAGCAGGCGTTCACTACGTTATTGCACGAGGAGGAAATTTATGTTGCAAAGGGTAGTGGATATGTATTAGAATCCATCGATGGGCTTTTATTAACAGTATACAAATATACGCCTATGGGGGGAACCCCTAACATTGGCCTGCCCGTTATCAATTTTGATAACGAACGCGATGACGATGATGACGTAAATGATCATAATACTGATAACAACCCAGATATTCGAAATAATATTACGTTAAACACGCCGAATAATAACCGACAAAATGAAAACGAGAATCGTGATGATACTTTTAACCCTGTAGCTGGCTCATCTTATATTCAGCTCCCTCTTCCAATCAAAAATAAACGGGCGACGATCAATCCGCAAAATAATGATCAGCATTGTTTTAAATGGTCCATTCTAGCGAGGCACGTGACAGGTCCAAATAAACATCGTGTAGGCGAAAATTATTTCCGACATGAAAACAAATATAATTTTACAGGCTTATCATTCCCAACACCGTGGAGTGAGGTTAAAATTTTTGAAAAATATAACCCGACAGTCTCTGTAAATATTTACGGAGTTAAAAAAATATCTCAGTCTTCGTCAAAAAATCCGAATCATCATATATTTCCATTAAAAGTAGTAGATAATGAAAAAGCCGAGCATTTCGACATCATTTTATTCACTGCCGGAGAAAAAAGTCACTACGTATATATATCTAATTTTTCACGTTTAATCCGCTCGCAAATAACATTACACGGTCATTCAGTTTATTTCTGCAAACGATGTTTCACATCGTTTGACAAACAAAATTTAAAATATAAATTAAGTGGGCAGCTAGCACTTCAGCAGCATAAATTAATTTGCGGATCTCATAAACCTATTCTACCCATAATGCCCGATGTTGACACATTGCTAGAATTCGATAATTGGCGACATGCTCAACGACACCCATTCACTATTTACGCGGATTTTGAAGCTCTACTGGTGAAAACTAATGAGAAAAGGGGGGAACACACGACTGTAATATATAACCACAAACCTATGAGTTATGGGTTTTTAGTTAAAGCGTCCGAAGAAGTTCCACTAGAGCTTATCCAGCAATTCAATATACCAACTGCACCAGTTGTTTATCGCGGTAGTGATAGTCGGGAGGATGTTGCCAGGAATTTTCTCGAAAATATAGTTGATGTAGGTCGTAAAATTGAAGAATTGCTAAAGACGAATGTCCCTATAGTTATGAATGACCGAGATACGCGAAAACACAATGAAAATAAAAATTTTAACTTTTGTAAACGCAGTTTCGACACAAACGAGAAAGTCCGCGACCATTGTCACCTTACTGGTAGATTTAGACAATCTTTATGCTCTCGATGTAATTTAAAATTAAAACAACCGAAATTTGTCCCCTGTTTTTTCCACAATTTATCTAATTATGACGCCCACTTTATTGTAACTAAATTAGGCTATGACGCTAATAGTATAAAAGTTATTGCTAATAGCGAAGAAAAATTTATTTCATTTTCAAAATATATCAGTAGGACGTTTACTATACGATTCGTAGACACGTGCAGGTTTATGGCATCAAAGTTGGATACTCTATCCAAAAACCTTTTAACTCGAGATTTTTCGAAATTCCGCGAGACAGCAAAATTTTTTGATGCCCGGGATATGCCACTAGTCACCCGTAAGGGTGTATATCCATACGAGTATACGGATGGCTGGGATAAGTTGGACGAGCCGAGTCTACCACCAAAAGAAGAATTTTATAGCACGCTCAAGGAGGAGGGTATTAAGGATGTACACTACGAACATGCTATGGAGGTATGGAGGCACTTTGAATGCAGAACGCTGGGCGAATACAGCGATTTGTATCTCAAAATTGACGTTTTGTTGCTCGCGGATGTTTTTGAAAATTTCCGCGATCTATGCATGAAAACGTACAATTTAGATCCGGCATTTTATTATACGGCTCCAGGATTCAGCTTCGAGTCGATGTTGAAATATACATCGGTGAAATTGGAACTGTTGACCGATTATGACATGCTACTATGTATAGAAAAAGGTTTGTAACTGATGAAAAATTAATTTTTTAAATGTTATAGAAATAATTATATTACAGGTATACGCGGTGGATTGGTGCAGGCTAGCATGCGGTATGCTAAGGCTAATAACCATAAGGTGCCTGATTATAACGAAACTAAACCGAAATCATGGCTTATCTATCAAGACTGTAATAACCTTTATGGCTGGGCTATGGCAGAATGTATGCCCTCTGGAGGTTTTAAGTGGGTTGAAGCCAAGCTCGATGGTCTTAACGACTTGGACGACAACTCGCCGATCGGACGGATGTATGAGGTTGATGGAACGTATCCGGCAGAACTGCATGACCAGCATAATGATCTACCATTTCTGCCTCAAAACGGAATACCCGATGGCTCGAAGGTAAAAAAACTGATGGTGACCTTCGAGTCAAAAAAAAAATTATGTCGTACATTACCGTAATCTCCAGCAAGCCATTAAAAACGGGTTGATAGTTGAAAAAGTAAATTTATTTAAAATAAAATGTAAATTTATTTATTTTTGACATGATTAATTTTATTCTAGGTGCATAGGGTCCTACAATTCAACCAATCACCTTGGCTTGCCGAATTTATAAATTTAAACAACGAAATGAGAAAAAAAGCTTTGAACGATTTTGAGAAAGACTTCTTCAAGCTTATGAATAATAGTATTTTTGGTATTTTTTATAATTTTTGTGTTTATTCAATTTTATACTAATCCTTTTTAAAATCGATAGGTAAGACTATGGAACAAGTTAGACGAAAGATACTAATGGAGCTTGTTTCAAACGAAGATAGAGTGCAGAAACTTATCAACTTGACCACATTTAAATATGCGACACCATACAACGAAAACCTGAGTGCTGTAACAATGGAGAAAAAAATTATAAAATTCGACAAACCTATTTATATTGGTATGTATCATAGCATGTATATTACATTCTTATAGATATTTAATAATTCTTCCCACAGGCTTAGCAGTGTTGGATATATCAAAGACAAAAATGTACGACTATCACTACAACGTGATGAAGAGGCATTATGGTGATCAAATCGAGCTGATGTACACTGACACCGGTAAATTAATAAATTAATATATATTTGTTTCATACTGACGCGGTCCCGCGTAATATGTCGTTTGAATTCAAACGGCCTTTACGCGGAAAACCGCGGAACGACTTCTCTATCCAACCGCCAGCGACGACGGACGACGCCGACGCACGATCAACGGCGTCGGAACGTCTTGACCGCCGAGACCGCGAACCGGTCCGACGACCGGAGAGTTAGTCTTTTCATATACGCCGTACGCGACAATATCACTTCCGTCGGTCTTTACTATTGTTCTTTTTGAGCATAGTGTTTTCACTCACCATAAACATTATTACAATTCTGCATTTTGTTCACTTTTAAAATATAAGTACATAATAAATCGGCTCATACCGTCTTTTTTGCTTAATTTCAACATTGTGTTATATATTTTTGCTACCTGCCATCTCCAACCATCCCATTCCACCTCCAGGTACGCATCAATACATAATTAAATAATTGTTATTATAGATTCACTGGTATATTATATCCACACTGATGACTTTTACGAAGATCTTGCAAGGAACGCCAATCTACTCGACCGTATGGATACTTCTAATTTACCACGAAACCATCCGTGTTATATTGCCGAGAGGAAAAAGATCCCGGGTCTATTTTCAGATGAGACTGACGGCCATATTATGACGGAGTTTTGCGCGCTCCGTGCTAAATCCTACGCTTATAAAATCCAAGGATTGGATGATATGAATGTGAAGGAGCAGATCCGTGCAAAAGGCGTGAGGGGTCATGTGGTTAAGAACCATATGACATTTGAGGGTCATCGGGCATATTTGTTTGAAGGTATGGAGCCGGGTGCTAATAATAGACAGCTGAATATGTGTATACGTTCATTCAAACATCAATTGACGACTGTCCAGACCGATAAAATAATATACAACAATTATGATGATAAGAGGGTGATACTAGAAGATAAAATCCATACCCTAGCTCACGGTCATTTTAGAATAGAGTAAGTTTTTTAAATTATCAAAATTATATTATTTATAAATTTTACAGGGACGCAGAGTTGGCTGAAACTATGGTTGAAAACGAATTTTAGGCCTTGTGTAAAATTTTTAAAATACTCTGTACATAAATAGTGTAAAATGAAAACAATTTCATGACATATAATTGTATATATTTTAATTTTTAAATACTTTGACATAAATAGTTTAAATTTTATACCAGATATTTGTATATACTTTGTATTAAAATGTTTACCTTGTAAATGTTAGCATGTATAAAGAAAACTCTTTGTTAAAATATTATTATGTTTATTAAATTTATTTGCGTAAGCACAATTAAGAATTATTTATAAACCATTTTCTTATAGCAAATATTTTATAAAATGTACATTGTTTTGGATTAAATTCCATATGAAAAATACAACAAGCTAAAGTTTCGTCATCACATATTTGATCCAAACGAGGGCAGCCCAAGTCTTCAATGTTGATGAGTGCGACGTGTGGTATATACTCCATAAGAACTTGTTTTTTCTGTTCACCTTTGACGTATATGCAACTGAACTTTAATGAGTTCAATATTCTACTTAGTTCTTCATACTCGATATCGCCATATTCTATGGGTAGTTGATGGTAATTACGCTCCAGCCACTTGTTGGTTTTACGACTTTTGTTATCCTCCATGGATTTTGAATGTTTAAAAATCCAGTGTTGGGTTGCCCATGTTTCTGTGTCTACTATAGACATTTCTTTAATCATGGATTTATTGTTGACACCGAGTACACATTGCATGTCCAAGATGGCTGAAGACATTATGGTTTGTCTTTATAATAAGTTTCGATAGTATTTAGTCGACTGAGTATAGCTGGTATTATGTTTTTCAACTCTTCTGTACTTTCTTTGATTGATTGTAATGATACTTCGCCTCTTGTCATATGCTCAGCTATCTGTACACACGTTAATTGTATCGTTTCTACTTGTTCTTCTTGAATTTGTACGGATTTATGATTTTCTTCAAGTAAATGTTCGATTTTATCTAATTTAGACGAAAACGATTTGTTCGACTGTTCGAGATTTGAAATAATTTTTTTTGTTTCACTAGACTGAGAACTACCAAACACGTTCATGTCCATAGCTCGACTGACACTATTTTCTAATGTCACTTGTATTTATCCAACTATTGTGTGTATTATCGAACCCGAGCTATTTCACAAAAATTTGATTCCCCTTCTTACGTATAATTTTCTCGACTAAATAGTCATTTGGATAATTCGTTTTCAATATTTCTTCAGAATAAAAGCAACCAGCAATCGGTTTTCCAGTATAATCTTGTAGCTGATAAGTAGTAGGTAATGTTTCATTAATTTTAACAATTTTAAATATTTCTGTAGACCAGCTCGGTAAATAACCTTTTGCAAATACACCTTCATATGTGCTAATACGGACGTTATCGCCTATGTCAAATTTAATTTTTCCGTCAATAATTTTTCGTTGCTTTATTTCCACTGACGTAGGATTAGCATCAGCTTGCACTGGTGTCATTCCTATTGTCCTATGTTTTGAATTATTATATTCGTTAATCAATGAAGGTAAAATAGAAATCCATTCATGCGAACCTCGTGCCGTAAACTCTCTAAATATTTTTTCTTTCAATGTGCGGTTGAAACGTTCCACAATACACGCTTTCATAGTACTATAAGTCGAATATTTATGTATGTCAACGCGTCAAATGTTGAATTGTAAAATTCTTTTCCATTATCGACCTGTAATAGCTTTGGTGCGCATTTATACAGTATCTTAGACATTGAGTTGGAAACTTCTTTAGCAGTTTTGGATTTTAACGGTATAGTCCAAGCAAACTTTGTAAAACAGTCTATTACACATAAAATATACTTGTACCCTTTATTTTTTTTCGAATACGGTATCATTTCGACTAAATCTGCCTGCCATAGATCGTTTTTGCCGTAAACATTAACTCTACGCCGTGTATAATTTTTCCTAGCCGGTTTGTGTAATTCGACTGCTATTTCACGTTTAGACATTT